GTGTAGTAAAGGTGTTGTAGTGTAGTTAAGGTGTTGTAGTGTAGTTAAGGTGTTGTAGTGTAGTTAATGTGTTGTGGTGTAGTAAAGGTGTTGTAGTGAGTTAAGGTGTTGTGGTGTAGTTAAGGTGTTGTGGTGTAGTTAAGGTGTTGTAGTGTAGTTAAGGTGTTGTAGTGTAGTAAAGGTGTTGTAGTGTAGTTAAGGTGTTGTAGTGTACTAATTGTCTATAAACATATGTTCCTAAAGGGAACGCAATAATATCAATGAACTTGTAAGTCACTCTTTTCCAAGCTTTCAGGCTTAGCCCTTCGTCAGGGATCAAATGTCACTGGACCTCCATGTCACATCCATCTTGACAAACATGTTGAATAACTATGAGGGTGATGTTGATGACGTCATAACGCTGTTACCATGACGTCAACACAACACAATGACGTCAGCAAACCATGTTGTAGTGTAGTTAAGATGTTGTGGTGTAGTAAAGGAGTTGAGTTGTGGTGTAGTAAAGGAGTTGACTTCACTACAACATCTTATGTGTGGTGTGGTATGGTTAGGGAGTTGTGGTTTAGTAAAAGAGTTGTATTGCAGTTAAGGTGTTGTAATGTTGCTAAGAAGTTATAGTGTAGTTAAGGTGTTGTAGTGTAGTTAAGGTGTTGTAGTGTAGTTAAGGTGTTGTAGTGTAGTAAAGGTGTTGTAGTGTAGTTAAGGTGTTGTAGTGTAGTTAAGAAGTTGTGGTGTAGTAAATGAGTTGTGGTATGGTTAAGGAGTTGTGGATTAGTAAAAGAGTAGTTGTGGAGTTATGTTGTAGTTGTGGAGTAGTTGTAGTGTAGTTGTGGTGTAGTTATGGTGTAGTTGTGGTGTAGTTGTGTAGTTATGGTGTAGTTGTGTAGTTCTGGTGTTATGTTGTAGTTATGGTGTAGTTGTGGAGTTATGTTGTAGTTATGGTGTAGTTGTGGTGTAGTTGTGTAGTTGTGGAGTTATGTTGTAGTTGTGGAGTAGTTGTAGAGTTATGTTGTAGTTGTGGTGTAGTTATGGTGTAGTTGTGGTGTAGTTGTAGTGTAGTTGTGGAGTTATGTTGTAGTTGTGTAGTTATGGTGTAGTTGTGGTGTAGTTGTGGTGTAGTTGTAGTGTAGTTGTGGAGTTATGGTGTAGTTGTGGTGTAGTTGTGGTGTAGTTATGGTGTAGTTGTGGTGTAGTTGTGGAGTTATGTTGTAGTTGTGGTGTAGTTATGGTGTAGTTGTGGTGTAGTTGTGGTGTTGTTTAGCTATTAAGTTTTGTTGTAGTTGTAAAGGTGGTATATAGTACTTTTGATACTTACTGATTTAGTCAAAGGGAATTCAGAAGAAGTTTCCATCTGCTGGCTGCTTGTTTCTTGTGTTGTTTCTCATTTGAACCCTCAAATCGAGTAATATTTTTTGAATAGTGTAAGAAGGGTTCCAACCTCCTACTAATCTATGTACGTCAACCTGTGAAAAACAATCGGTGTATATACATGTATCTTTAGCAGAGGAATGAAGTGTATATACATGTATCTTTAGCACTGGAATGAAGTGTATATACATGTATCTTTAGCACTGGAATGAAGTGTATATACATGTATCTTTAGCAGAGGAATGAAGGCCCTCTCAACACCAACATCACATTACATTTGGCCTAGTAATTATAACATAATCAAGACACTGTCAACAAGTCCTGCGCCTGTAATAATTATTTATTTAACCAAAAATGTATCTTTCAGATGAACAACTATTAAGGTCAGAGGTCAAAACATAGGACAACATTTCCAACATCAGGTAGGTGACAATCTTGCATCCCAAAATATATCTGCATACATCTTTTTATACTCAAGGTACATTTGTATAGGATATAGGGCCATACAAACTTATATGATAAACGACCAACCTAATACAGGCGATGGAATACAAACTGATAGTTAGACACCCCTCCAGTAGTACCAGTAATAGTTAGACAACCTCCAGTAGTACCAGTAATAGTTAGACACCCTCCAGTAGTACCAGTAATAGTTAGACCCCCTCCAGTAGTACCATTAATAGTTAGACACCCCTCTAGTAGTTCCAGTAATATTTAGACACGTGCACCCCTCCAGTAGTACCAGTAATAGTTAGACACCCTCCAGTAGTACCATTAATAGTTAGACACCCCTCTAGTAGTACCAGTAATATTTAGACACGTGCACCCCTCCAGTAGTACCAGTAATAGTTAGACACCCTCCAGTAGTACAAGTAATAGTTAGACACCCCTCCAGTAGTCCCAGTAATAGTTAGACACCCCTCCAGTAGTACCAGTAAGAGTTAGACACCCCTCCAATAGTACCAGTAATAGTTAGACCCCCCTCCAGTAGTACCATTAATAGTTAGACGCCCTCCAGTAGTACCAGTAATAGTTAGAATCCCCTCCAGTAGTACCAGAAATAGTTAGCCACCCTCCAGTAGTACCAGTAATAGTTATACACCCTCCAGTAGTACCAGTAATAGTAAGACCCCCTCCAGTAGTACCAGTAATAGTTATACACCCTCCAGTAGTACCAGTAATAGTAAGCCACCCTCCAGTAGTACCAGTAATAGTAAGCCACCCTCCAGTAGTACCAGTAATAGTTATACACCCTCCAGTAGTACCAGTAATAGTTAGCCACCCCTCCAGTAGTACCAGAAATAGTTAGCCACCCTCCAGTAGTACCAGTAATAGTTAGCCACCCTCCAGTAGTACCAGTAATAGTTAGAATCCCCTCCAGTAGTACCAGAAATAGTTAGCCACCCTCCAGTAGTACCAGTAATAGTAAGCCACCCTCCAGTAGTACCAGTAATAGTAAGCCCCCCTCCAGTAGTACCAGTAATAGTAAGACACCCTCCAGTAGTACCCGTAATAGTTAGACACCCCCCCAGTAGTACCATTAATAGTTAGACACCCTCCAGTAGTACAAGTAATAGTTAGACCCCCTCCAGTAGTACCATTAATAGTTAGACACCCTCCAGGAGTACCAGTAATAGTTAGACACCCTCCCGGAGGACCAGTAATAGTTAGACACTCCTCCAGTAGTACCAGGAATAGTTAGACACCCCTCCAGTAGTACAAGTAATAGTTAGACCCCCTCCAGTAGTACCAGTAATAGTAAGCCCCCCTCCAGTAGTACCAGTAATAGTTATACACCCTCCAGTAGTACCAGTAATAGTTATACACCCTCCAGTAGTACCAGTAATAGTTATACACCCTCCAGTAGTACCAGTAATAGTAAGCCCCCCTCCAGTAGTACCAGTAATAGTTATACACCCTCCAGTAGTACCAGTAATAGTTAGCCACCCTCCAGTAGTACCAGTAATAGTAAGACCCCCTCCAGTAGTACAAGTAATAGTTAGACCCCCTCCAGTAGTACCATTAATAGTTAGACGCCCTCCAGTAGTACCAGTAATAGTTAGACACCCCCCAGTAGTACCCGTAATAGTTAGACACCCCCCCAGTAGTACCATTAATAGTTAGACACCCCTCTAGTAGTTCCAGTAATATTTAGACACGTGCACCCCTCCAGTAGTACCAGTAATAGTTAGACACCCCTCCAGTAGTACCAGTAGGGCACTAATAAACACCAGTATTATCTGATGGTATGTTGTTTTCAATCTGTGAAATATTGCATGATGCTGAAGTCATTTTCAATCATGATTTGGAGTCATTATAATTGGCATGGATAAAGGTTCGGAGGGCCGCTAACAAGAAAGCAGAAATATGTTGATACATTTGCTTTGTGAAAATTTTCAAATTACGATGTATTCTGTCATTGACAAAATTGTTTCTAGAAGCCACAAACTAGACCAACTAGAAACTGTTCAATATCATTAATACTTGTACTTAACCCTTTCACCACTGTAGACCATAATGAACTCGCCCATCTAAATGTATGGTAGAGTCAACTTAAGTTACCTAACGGTGAAAGGGTTAATATCACGAATCAAGTTTTGATATATGCTTCAGGCCATGGAATTAACCAAGGTATTGACACAAATCAGGTATGAAATGAAACACTCTATTTCATATTTGAGTCAGAAAGAGTATGAAATATCAGTTGTCCTCTTGGTGTTTTGTCAAACCAAAATCAACGATACATTGATAAAAACACCAATCTGAGGTATTCTTTTTATGGTAAGTATAGGCAGGTAATCATTTCAGACAGGTGGACACCGAACAATACCCTAAATGATCTGCTATATTACGCTATGAAAATACTTCATATTATAAAAAAGGCTAAAAAAATTGTGAATGCAGTGATGTCCTCTGTTTCCGAGATATTGCGATTTTTATGAAATACACATCTTTGCCTCAGCGACGATCGCCTCGACATGGCTAGCCTACATCTGTGACATCACAAGTTTAACTCTGTCAAAATAGCTATATATAATATAATAGGAATATAGCAGGAAGCTAGGCTGTGTGTTCGATATGCAAACTCTTAAGTTATTTAAATGATATGTTCCTTAGTCACTGACTGGTTTATGTAATATTTATATCTATAAAGAAAGTGCTACATACATATAACAATGACTTTTACAATTTAAATGATGAAATGAGTTCCCATTGAGGAGGCAAATGATGTGCTGTATACGGGTGTCCGAACACACATACGGATGGGATATCATTACATACGTGTACATGATTGTATGTTTATATAATTCATTAATCCAGTACTGTAAATATTATACTTTTTCATTGATATTTTCGCTAGATAATATAATTCTAATCTAAAGTGGCTATAACTGAAACAATACAACAGCAGAGCTCTCCGAGACCTTTTTACCAATCTTTCTATGTGTCCTTAAGACTACTCACCTTTCCGTCTGGACTGACAAAAGGTAAATTTATTTTGGTTGTAAATGTTACAATTGGCTGACATACAGGATAGTCATCGTCACATATTATTTTTACACTGTAGATTCTTGATTCAAAGTTACTCTGAAACAGAACAAGAAAGATTTATCAACGGCTATAAACTCAAACAAGAGGCTTGCAGGCCTCTACAATGCATCTTGGCAACAAGGAATTGAAACACTTTTAATAGGCGCCATATTGAACAAGAGCCCCATGCATGGGTAAATTCTGAAATACTCAAATTGAAGCATGACTGTTCTTTTTTTTAAATTGGCACATAGTTACTTTGGAGAGATCAAGGGCATACACCCATACTAACCTGGAGACCATACTGTATAGATGAATTAGATGATACGTTAAATGGATTATATGTACAGATGAATTTGTAAATGTCCTAGCCAATCAAAGGCCAGGGTGGCTATTTGGAAATTTACAATCAGCATAAAAAGTAACAAACTTGGTCAAAACCTCATAAGGAACACTCCTACTATGTTAGAAGTCAATCGGTGTAGCCTTTGAAAGGAAGTCAAAAACATCGCAGTCAATGAGAGGTCATGGTGACCATCTTGAATTTTCTGATCGGCACAAAAAAGTAATAACACTTGTTTGGAACCTCATAAGTAACATTTGTACAAATAAAGAAGTTAATTGCTGAAGATAATCTCTAGAAGTCGAAAATTTCTCGTCTCTGCAAATCAGAGGCCAGGATCCGCCATCTTGTATTCTCCGACTGACAGTAACTCTGCCAGTTACTGTCTGATCAGGCCAATTTGCTATCTAGTCTGAGATCTGATTGATATAACACAGCATAGCAAAATTCATCAAAACCCATTCACTTTTACTAAAGTTATCATGCTCACAAGCTCAAGTCCCATAGGCTCCAATAGTAATTAAAATTTCAAAGTCCCATAACTCTGCCAGTTATTGTCTGATCGGGACCACTTTCAAAATTGTCTGAGATGTTATTGATATAAAGCAGCATAGCAAAATTTATCGAAAAATCCATTCACTTTTACTCAAGTTATCGTGCTCACAAGATAAAAGTTAAAACACAACGACAGAAAAAGACAGATGGCAATAAGGTCACCATGACCTATGGTCAAGTGGACTAAATATTGTGATAACAAAATTGAACTGCCAAATTCAAGATGGCTGTCTAGTGGCCGTCCTGTTTCTCATATCAGTCCCTTTAGTACTTTCTGAGAAATAGTGCTAACAATATTTTATTCTGACCTCAATTCGAATACCTTGATCTTCTGATCAGGCTCATAATTCAATAGAGATCTTGCAAATGAAATTTGAGAAAGATTCTTCCAGTACTTTCCAAGAAATAGCACTAACAATATTTAACTCTCAAAATTCAAGATGGCTGCCAGATGGCCATCTTGGTTTTCCAATCAGACCTAAATTTTGATATGCATAATAAGAGACCAAGGGGAACCTTCTTGTGAAATTTGAGAAAGATTCCATCCAGTACCTTCTGAGAAATAGCACAAACAAGAATTGCTTAAGGTAGGACGGACGGACAGATGGATGGACACCAGTCAAAGGGTGATTTGAATATAGCCAACCATCTATACTGATGATGGTGGGTTAAAATAAACAAGAGGCCCAAGGGCCTTAGCAGTCACCTGAGTTATATCATAGGTGCTGGTAGCTTTCTTTTATTGTTTAGATGTGATGTGGAAATCAGCATGTAAACTAAGTGAAATACAATACTTGTCATGTCATCAAAGGATAATAATTTGAAAATATTGGTAAATGTTCCCTTTGGGGCCCCGCCCTAGCCCCTGGGGATGGGGCAGGAATCCCAATTTACAATGTAATACCCTCTTTCACCAAAGATGATTCTGACTAAGTTGAGTAATTTTCTGCTGAAAATGGATAAAATATATACCCAAAAGTGTTATTTCCCTATATAAACTATAGTAAACTTTACCCCCTCCCCAAGGGAGAACGGATGGCTCAGTGGTCCTGAAATTTACAATTTAAATAAAGCCCCTGATGGTCTTTCTTTGAAGTTTCCATGCAGAGAAAATGACTGCAGTACCTCCGAGTCTGGGGAAGAAGATTTTTGAAATATTGGTTAATTTTCCCTTTGGGGCCGAGCCCGAACCCTGGCCCCAGGGCTTGGGGTAGGAATCTCAATTTTACAATTTGAAACCATCTTCTTGCAAGAATAATTCTCACCAAGTAAAAATAATTTCCTATAGAAAGTTGTCAAAATATACCCAAAAGTGTTATTTCCCAATATAAACTATACTAAACTTTACCCCCTCCCAAAGGGAGAACGGATAGCTCGAGGGGTCCTGAAATTTACAATTTAAATAAAGCCCCTGATGGTCTTTCTTTCCATGCAGAGAAATGACTGTAGTACCTCTGAGTCTGGAGAAGAAGATTTTTGAAATATTGGTTAATTTTCCCTTTGGGGCCGAGCCCTGGCCCCAGGGGTTGGGGTAGGAATCTCAATTTTACAATTTGAAACCATCTTCCTGCAAGGATAATTCTCACCAAGTAAAAATAATTTCCTACAGAAAGTTGTCAAAATATACCCAAAGGTGTTATTTCCCTATATAAACTATAGTAAACTTTACCCCCTCCCCATGGGACAACAGAGAGCTTGGGGGTCCTGAAATTTACAATTTAAATAAAGCTCCTGATGGTCTTTCTTTCCATGCAGAGAAAATGAATGTTGTACCTCTGAGTCTGGAGAAGAATATTTTTGAAATATTGGTTAATTTTCCCTTTGGGGCCCCGCCCTGGCCCCAGGGGTTGGGGTAGGAATCCCAATTTTACAATTTTGTAGCCTCATCTACCAAGGATGATTCTGACCAAGTTTGAAAAAAATCCATCCACTGGTTCTTGAGAAGAAGTTAAAAATGTAAAAAGTTTTTCGCACGACAGACAACGGACGACGAAGGACGGAAAGCGATTAGAATAGGTCACTTGAGCAAAGCTCAGGTGACCTAAAAATGTCAAAAGTTTACGAATGGCCCTTTGGGTCTGTTGAGTTAAAAAGACAACTTGTGAAGGTTTTTTCTCTTGAAATTGATTGTAAATTGTAATGAACAAGAGGTCCAGAGGGCCTGTATCGCTCACCTGGATATGTTTTAAGTACTTGATATGAGTTTAAGATACTAGTATAGCACTCCATGGTAGGTACTGTATGCACAAATGAAATTTCAGAAAGATCCATCCAGTATTTCTGGTGATATAGGGAGAACATACTTCAAATGTCAAAATCCAAAGTGGCGACCTGGTGGCCATCTTGTTTTAATGAATACTCCCTAAGAGTAATCGGCACTTATAGACAACTTGATGAAGACAAAATTGGGATAAAATCCTGTAATGCCTATGGTAGAAGAATAGAAGGATTTCAAAGATTTTACCTCTATTTCCCCTAGTGGGCCCCCACCCACTGTTTATACAACAAGAGGCCCAGAGGGACTGTATCGCTCACCTGAATATATGTTTAAAATAATTGGTATGAAGTAAAAATATAGCACTCAATGGTAGGTGCTGTAAGTACATATGAAATTTCAGAAAGATCCATCAAGTACTTGAGATATACCAAGAACAAACTTCAAACAGAGCCCCACCCCTATGCCCTAATGGGGTCATACCCACCATTTATACAAAATTGAATCCCCTTGACCCAAGGATGCTCCAGACTAAATTAGGATACAATCCCTTAATCCCTATGGTAGAAGAAAGATTTTAAAAGTCATACCTCTATTTCCCCTATTGGGCCCTGCCTCTCTGCCTCTAGGGGGGTCAGACACACTGTTTATACAAAATTGGTTCCCCTTCGCCCAAGGGTGCTTCATACCAAATTTTGACAAAATCCTGCCATTGAAGAATTTGCTATATTTCCCCTATTGGGCCCCTCCCTTCTGCCCTTCTGTTTATACGAAATTAGGTCCCTTTTGCCCAAGATAGCTCCTGACTAAATTAGGATAATATCCCTTAATCCCTATGGTAGAAGAAGGATTATAAAGGTTTTACCTCTATTTCCCCTATTGGGCCCCCCTTCAGGTCCCAGGGGGGCCACACCCACCGTTTATACAAAATTGGTTCCCCTTTACCCAAGGATGCTCCACACCAAATATGGACCAAATCCTTTCATTCCTATAGAAGAAGAAGGATTTTGAAGAAAATTTGCTTGCCCTTCAGGCCCCTGTGGGGCCAGACCCAAGGTTTATAAAAAATTGTTTCCCCTTCACCCCCAAGTAGCGTTTTAAAGGAAAAGTTGACGGCCGGACGATGGACGCTGCGCCATGGCATAAGCTCACTTGCCCTTTAAATTTGGGCAGGTGAGCTAAAAACTACAATTTGAGATCAAATGGCCAAAATAACATATATTTTTTTTAAATTTATTATTGCATTCTATAAATAAAACAAATTTATGCTTAAGATAACAAACAAGGTGAGGGGAGGGTTTACAATGTTACTGAAATATGAGTCTGAGTCAAGTCTTTAACTTTTTGCATAAAAATAATAATAGAATGGTGTTACATTAGCGGGTCCAATAATGGTACAGGTCCAGTCCCTTAGCGTGTCATCATCGCTGCGTGTAAGTCCCCATGATACTGTTCCATCACCACATCCTTTCTCCCCACTTTCCAACTCATGCAGAAGTCGAAAGTTTCTTGGAACAACAACTTCTCCTGGAAAAAGGCAAACAGATTTTTTTTTATTCAGAAGTAAAACAAAATGAGTTGACACTATCAAAAAGATTTGGGAAGCCATATATCCATGAATATCTCGATTTATTACATTTTTGCCAGTGAAATATCAAATTCTATCAACTTGATAAAACTGATCTCTTTCACACAGTTACAATCAAAAACTAGAACACTGACAGGTCAGTAAGGGCCCTGACTTGTGGCAATATATCCGCCATAATCATCAAGAAGCAATCTGCCCATATAGCTGAGCTTGACGTCTGATATTTGGACTTCAAAAAGAATCGCAAGGAAGCGAAATATACATTTAACATGTACTATGATGTGAGTCTTGTTTCCTTCCACCTCCATATTTGCTAGGCTAACAGAAATGTAAATACCGGTGCAATACTCATTTGTTAGCTTTGATGTTTTATTTCACTTTAAATACCTCCTCCATCAAGAGCCAGGGTCAAAGTCAGAGATCCACTTTGTCTTTGACCTTTGGACCCAAATGACCTTGACCTTTAACCCATTGACCCTGATCTGGGGTCAGTTGAATTATTCTTTGATTTCGATCAACTTTGCTTCATAATATCATAACAAAATGTTCATCAGTGAAAAATACAAAACTTGACCTTGAACCTTTGGACCCTGTAACCTTGACCTTAGGTCATTTGACTCTGTGTTAAGTTCTGAACAACTTTGCTTCATAATAACATAAAAATAATGTTCATCAGTAAAAAGATACAATATTTAACCTTGACATTGACCCAGTGACCTTGACCTTTCGTCAGTTGACTCCTTGTGTAATTCTGACCAACATTGCTTTATAGTGTCATACCAAAATGTTCATCAGTGAAATGATACTAAATTTGACCTTGACCTTTGATCTAGTGACCTTGACCATAAGTCAGTTGACTCTTTTTGGAATTCCGACCAACTTTGCTTCATAATGTCATAACAAAATGTTCATCAGTGAAAAGATACAAAAATTGACCTTGACCTTTGGTCAATTGACTCCTTGTTTAATTCTGAGCAACATTGCTTCAAAGCATCATAACGAAATATTCACCAGTGGAAAGATACAAAATTTAACCTTGACCTTTGATCCAATAACCTTGACCTTTATTCAGTTGACTCCTTATTTAATTCTGACCAACATTGCTTCATAGTGTCATAACAAAATGTTCATCAGTGAAAAAATGCAAAAATAGACCTTGACCTTTAAACCTGATGTCCTTGACCTTTGACCTTGTTTTTTTTTTTTACCTGAGTGTGTATTTTTGTGAACTGAACATCTTGACCAAGTTTCATGTAAATCGGTCAATTAATACCAAAGTTATCAGCCAGGAACAAAATTTGTGGACGGACAGACAGTGATTACTATAGGGCACTAATTATATTTTCACAGTGTGATAATATCACTTTTTTGGTACTGACCAATCATAATGGTATCTCCTTTTCGCTGCATTCAAAGGCAGCGATTAATTTGTCCCGATTCAAATGAAGGGTTGGTAGAATAAGTGGTTGTTATGGTAAATGTTTGGTACACATATTTAGGTATTTACATAAATATACAATTAATAACATTTTTATAAACAATCATACCAGAAAACGTTGGAACAGCATTAAGTATCCCATTTAAAATGGTGCACAGCCTTGTTGGCGCTAATTATTACGCTTCTGATTGCCACCCTTTTTTAATGCAATTACATTTTTCAGGTTTTATGCTTTAACAAGAGGGCCAAGGGCCTTAGCGGTCACCTGAGTTATATCATAGGTACTGGTAGCTTTCTTTTATTGTTTAGATGTGACGTGGAAATCAGCATGTAAACTAAGTGAAATACAATACTTGTCATGTCATCAAAGGATAATAATTTGAAAATATTGGTAAATGTTCCCTTCGGGGCCCCACCCTAGCCCCTGGGGATGGGACAGGAATCCCAATTTTACTAAGTAATACTCTCATTCACCAAAGATGATTCTGACTAAGTTTGAGTAATTTTCGGTTGAAAATGGATAAAATATATACCCAAAAGTGTTATTTCCCTATATAAACAATAGTAAACTTTACCCCCTCCCCAAGGGAGAACGGATAGCTCGCGATCGGGGGTCCTGAAATGTACAATTTAAATAAAGCCCCTGATGGTCTTTCTTTCCATGCAGAGAAAATGACCTCTGAGTCTGGAGAAGAAGATTTTTGAAATATTGGTTAATGTTCCCTTTGGGGCCGAGCCCTGGCCCCAGGGGTTGAGGTAGGAATCCCAATTTTACAATTTTGTAGCCTCATCTACCAAGGATGATTCTGACCAAGTTTGAAAAAAAATCCATCCACTGGTTCTTGAGAAGAAGTTGAAAATGTAAAAAGTTTACGCCTGACGGACGGAAAGCGATTAGAACAGTTCACTTGAGCAAAGCTTATCTTTTTATAGCTGTGAACTATATACTTCCATCATAGTTTTTCTTCTTCTTTTTTCATGAAGATTATATATACATTTATTTATATACTTGTTTTTTAGTGTAAAATTACATATCAATACATTTAAGCCTACAAACATAAAATATAATATAAATATTGATGAATAGTACTTGTATTCCACAAAAGTCAGCACAGTAGCCAATAATTTAGAGTGTCACAGCTACAAATCTGACCAAGAAGCCTAGCAATCTTCATAGAATTATTGTTAGACGACCAACTAAGCTATTTTAATTACTGCGTTAGCACTTGGTATTCAATAATTGACCATAAATTATCATGTATTTTTATTCCAGATTAACTGGAGTCTTTCTACCTGAAATGGGTAGTTCCATCAGTTATATAATGATTCCATGGAAACCATTTGTGAAGATGACGGTGCCTATAAAATGATCCCTATATCACATTTGCTTTGCAAACGACACAAAAACAATAAATTATAATGATTACCACTAAAGAAAGGAATCATATATATCAAATGTACAAATAGGGCTATAGATATTCACCCATCAAGTCCACCATTACATGGAACTTAATTTTAAGAAGATTTATAAATTCTCTGCATCATTAATATCACAGTGGTGGAACTTGATTGATTGGTTCCAGAAATAGTGATAACAGAAGTGAGGCAGATTGCAAGCAATCACAACATGCTTGTGTTTATAAACGTGTTTTGGTTACATTATCACCAGTTCCAAGGTGGGTACAAAACAGACACTGTATTAAGAGATCAACATTTGTTGCCAACTTAAAACAATCCAGAAACAATGCTTATAATATATTACATAAAAGCCTATTGAATAAGTACAGTTTATACGGTCTGACGTAAATAATCTAACAGATTATGTCGACAATTTATATTACTTACAAATATTATCAAGCTATTCGGATTGATATGTCTCGTCTGTGCCCAACTTTGACCATCAGTGTACATGTCAAGTTTGGTTGGTGTAGCGCTTATTATAAAGTTTCAGAGAACCTATTAACTTATTTGTAAACGCAAAAAACTTAAGGTTGATGGAGATGCTGACTAAGTGAATGGACCATGAAAAGTAACCCGCATCCACATTTGATGCATGGGTTGAGATGTACTACCTAAGATGCATATATGGTCCAAGTTTGGTTAGTCTAGTACTTATACTTTCAGTGAAATTAACTTAAACGCAAAAACTTTATGTTGACACCGCCGCCGGAAAAGCAACACCTCGGTCTGGCTTCCGCTACTTCATGGCGACGAGACAAAAATGACTGTAAACTGTAAAACATCACCTTTGGACAACTACAATATGGATGATAGTGTTAATAGAGATTTCGGGTAAATATTATTGTATGGATTATTGGACTACTAAATTTTGTCTGTTCGTAAGATTATCGTTTTGCCTTCACTCAGATGGATAATTACGAGTGCAGTTACTGTTACCTTCTGGTCAAAGATTTCAAAGAGTTTGGCACCACAACTGAGCATTGTGTACAACCACAGGAACAATATTTAAAAATAAATACTGTTAGGAAAAAACATAAATACAACAATACTGTACCGATACTGTTGATATAATTTAGCAATTTGGGTCCACTAAGGAACATGTCACCAACAACAATTGAGGATATGTGTGGGATTTTCCATGAGCCATTTTTTCTTCGAAAGTGAAAAATTATCATGATTCCTGGCAACAGGATGTTTTCTTCCAGTTTTTTAATCCTTCTATGGAACCCTTCAAATTCTATGGCCTTGTGCTCACGAATCATGCACTTGAGACTCTTTTCCGAAATAATGAATATCTTGAGTAGGGTGTTGAATAAGTTTACTGGCCTGGCTGGGGATAGTGATTGTTTTTAATAATGAATTACCATGAAAACAAGAGGCCCATGGGCCTTAACGGTCCCCTGAGTCCTACAGTATTTATTTTTGTTGTTGAAATATGTACCAATTTGAGTACAAAATAGTTAAGTATAACGTTAACTTAAGTTTGCCAGGACCATGAGCTGATCCCTAGACCGAGTTTCACTTAACTCGGCCTATTAGAACTTGTTTTTAAGTTTGAAATAGTTATTTTCAAAATAGCGTCCCTGGCAGCCAAATTGGATTTCTGATCGACCCGAAAAATAACAACACTTTGTCAGGACCATGAGTCGATCATTCCTACCAGATTTCAATTCAATCGGCCCAGCAGAACTTGACTTTAAGTTTTAAATTGTTTTTCAAAATGGCGGCTGTGGTGGCCATATTGGATTTCTGATCGACCCGAAAAATAACAGCACTTGGTCAGGGAGATGTCAGTAACCTTCCCATGAAATATTAATGAAATCCCTTTGCCAGTATTTCAGCTTAAGTTGAAATGTAAAATTTTAACGGACGATGGACGAAGACGGATATATCAATAGGTCACTTGAGCTAAAGCTCAGGTGACCTAAAAAGGCTCACGCTTTTGTATTTTGTTCAATCTGCCTACCAGCTACTGATTTACATATGAAACTGTACATCTCCATGACCACCTTATGGTCTAAATTGAGTGCTTGAACTTGAAGGCAGATGTCACACCATGCAATCGGCTCTGCCATTACATATGTCTAATGGGATTGTCGGACGTTTAAACAGTATACAGATGCAAGTGTACAAAAAACGATGCAGACTCTAAAACTGACAAATAGTATTCACATTCCAGTATTTGACTTTAGTCTTTACAGTTTTCTCACCTTGTACTGATAAACAGTCATGGTATCTCTTTTATTTTGACATATAACGAACATACCTATTGTAGCATTTCAGTATCATATAATCCGGTAATAAAATCACCGGTTAATCAACAATTTTTAACTGAATTAATATGCATGCATTGCAATGTCTCTGTGACGTGAGGTTGCCATGAGGAAGTGATGGCATAAAAAAGTGGATATTTAAAACCTTCTGTTCGATGGAATTGGTTGTAATGTGGGAAAACGTTTATATAATCATAAAAGCTCATTAGTTACAGTTATTCCGTGAGAAATAAGTTTGGCAATGATCCAATAAATGCATATCTTATAACATTACCTTTTGATGTTCCTTTATTCGCCATGTTATACGCCGTCTAATACAGAACCGGAAACGGATTCCGGATTCTTACACACCGCCTACTGGCATGCGTACGTGTGCGGCTCCAGTGATGACGGAGTACGATTAATCAGATCTATAAGAAACCACTCTGACTTTTTTGTTATACTGATACGTATGAGTTTTAAACAATTACATAATCAACTAGCTGCGTCAATTTCTAAAATAAGTTCCGTGTCATAAATTGTGCCACAATGAGACATTTTCAAATTTTATTCCCGCGTTTTTTATGAATTTCCTTGTAAAGTTGAATGTAGCATTTATGTTTCCCCAGACTCCAATCAATGGGAATGAATGGAAAAGGGAAAAAGTAACGACTGTAAATAAAGTGTAACAATGATGTATTATTTTTATACAAAAAGAAACTTTAAAATTGTAAAATCATGCCGATAAAATGAGATAATGGCCTAAACATGCACCAGAATGCAGTTTTGATGATAAGACATGCCTGAGCTCGACGACACCTTTAGCACACTGACAAGTGGTTAGATTCGAAACCTTACCAACACATTTCTATATCCAGTCTTTAGTCAATATAGACTGAATCAATTTTGTAAATACGTTAATCTGATAGAAAATTATATTGATTTATCAAAATTCAGCATTAAATTCACAGACATATGGCATACAGACAATCTTAATTTCGTTGTGTAATCACTATTATTTTGAAGATACGTCTCTGGTTACACTTATGACGTCATATATAATAACGATGAAGTCATGGCGTTAATAACTTATAATATGAATGTCATCTCGGAATTTTGTAAGACTATGCATATGTATAAAGTGGTTTTAAGTATCTAAGACAGGTGATCTATATATATATAACAGCATGGTTTTCGTTGCTGGTATTAGATGCAGATCTACATGTTTAACATCTACATGTTTAACATTTCATAGCATGTATAGCCCTACAATATTTCTAGATACGTCAGATAAATCAGAAAGGCGCGAGTCATATTTTGACGTCGTCTTTATTTGTATATGACGTCATAATATTGTGTCTCTGCTACGACTTTTTGGCATATTTGTCTCGCATATTTTGAGAATGCCTATCAAAGTTTGATTTTTGCGTCATAAAATGGAGACTATTTAAACACCAATAGGACGAATTCACTTCCAAATAATTGGACGTTCATCCGAGTCAATATATGGCGAACAATTATTAATGAAGATTTAAATATCCCGTTACTCAAGCTCGACAGCACCTCGTATCCCCAAGCAAATCTCATCAATTGATTTTTAGATGTGGAAAAGAAAATAACAGGTACAGTAGGCCTATCCGTTTTCTAACTCATATATATTTTTATGTGTTCGACCGGAAATCTGTCGCGAATGTATCTGGAAATACATCGGTTTTAAATTTACACTGTCGTCATTTTCGTAATTATTTTCAGTCATATCAAAAACACGTTTTTACGAAATCATACACATTTAGGCACCATTTCGAACGGAATCAAATTTTCTGTCAGTTCACGTTAATTTACACCATATAAACGTTAATCCGATTACTTTCAACCGGAAGTGGCGTAATGGTAAACAAATATGGCCGACCAAACATTCTTTCTCGCCGAAGACTCGTCTGCTGCTGAATAGCTTGTTCTGTTGTAGATCACGAGAGCATATGTATAATGATTCAGGTAATACGGTTCCAAAGTACTGTTTTATTAGTTTTCTTTTCCTTGATAACACTATCTTTTGAAGACATGTGTGTAGAAACGTAGGTGTTGCTGTGCAGGTGAGATTGTGTCGGTTTATAACCAATATGAGGTCAGATGAACTGTCAAATTGTCACACTGACCATCAAGTAGACGCTCGTATTCAACCATTCATACTATCGAATGTTTAATCGATGTTATGTTTCATATTTGATATTAATTGGATATATATGTATCAATGGCAACCAGCATTTATGAAACGCATGCACTTGACGTTCTATGAGTGTGGGATGGAACTTTGAACAACCAGAGTTGACCTCATTTCAATATCAACAATACAACTAACAAATATCAGTTATTTGGAACCAATGTTTGTTTTTTTTTTTCTTCATTTTTAAGAGATTCTCATGTCTCGGAATAGGAGATATTCTTCCAAATTTCTTATCAGTCTCTTATTATTACCATCACTACTTGATGTGTTCTGAAATATCTAACTACAGGATCTAGAGCTGACATTACATATAACAGTGTAGATGAAATAAAAACCACTCCAAATACTAACTAGGAAAGCATGCCATGGCTTTTGGAGATGCTGAAGAATCAAACAAAAAATGTCAAACTTCTTAGGTAATTGTGGATTAAACATTGTTAGGTACAGTTTTCGTCAGGTGTGTGTTTATAAACACGATAAATAGGTTATTGATGTTTAATATGGACAGCTTTATAAGCTAACATAGTACAAAACTATTTTGCAACAATTTTCCTGAAGTTGGTGAATTTCTCTGCAATGTTTTTATGGTATTCAAGGTCGCCCATAATTCATAGTAGTTTTTTTCATATATGGGTAACATCAAACTCCTATGATTATCTCATATACTTGCAAATGGCCAACAACCATTGCCAAATTTAGCTAGAATATATCTGGACATATATTGGGATTTTTTGTCGACAATATATACAGAGTTATGGCCCTTTGTTCACTGTCACTTTGTCACAGGTACATTTCCTTTTATTTCTTACCTACATGTACATTGCCAAATTCTGTATGTAGATATCCCTATGGATTGCAAAGACATATGCTCCTATATTTACAGAGTGTCACATACTGAAATTGGGTCCTGTGTCTCACTATATAAACAGAGTTATGCATGCATCCTGTTTACTTTTCATGTCAAAGACTTTAAGTTTGTCCAGATGTTGGGGACTATATGATTTTTAGTTTGTAAATTGTTTCTTTTTGTTAGTGCATCTGTCATGGCCGCTAATACATTGGAGCAGATCAATGCTCTGCTGATCACAGCCTCGGCTAAAGGAGAGTTGGAGCTGTTGCAAAAAGTTCATGCCAACTTACAGTCACTGTCGCTGAAGCATTCTTCTCCTATACAGAATCCAAGAGATGATGTAATTGAGGAGGAGGTCATACTTACCATCAATGGTCGTAGTCAAATTTTCACAGATCCCTTGGAATTTTGTGGTACACAAGAGGCACTAAATAAATTTACATGCTATGTGTTTGATCGTCGGTTTGGTTGGTCTGAGGCCAATAGTGATGGAGGTGGACGAGTCCGACGCATGTCCTGTACAGGAACTGTGTTAGCCTCCAGTGATGGTCATCACAAGGCTGTCATCATTGAACTTTTGGATGTATTTTTGAAATGGTATGTGCAAGTCCTGGATTTGTACAGGTAATGTAAAGAATATTGATATCTTCATCCACATCAGGAGCAAGCCCATACCAAGTTAATCATTTATTATTAAAGGAGTTTTCTCAGTCAAAATAATGAATGTTTTATAACTTATATCAGACAGTTTCCATACACATAATTCAAATTAAATTATTAACTTGTTGCTTGTTGATTGGTATTTTGTATTGCAAACTGATTTTAAAGATGATTGTGCTTCTTCAGGTACGGTCAACAGGATCTGTACCCCTCCCTCACAGAGGCCTTCAAGTACACACTCAAACAAGGTTTGTATGTAAAACATCCTATTTCACATCCATACTTGTCACACTCTGATTCAGATTTAGGACCAAGGATTTCTTTATATATTTTTTGTTCTTTTGTTTGATTTATGTCACATTGTGACACCTGTATATAAATTACTTAATACAATAAGTACATCATCCTCCTGTCTTGATTGTTTCTCTGGTGAGATTTTGATAAAGATACATTATCATCACTAATTAAATGAGGAGAAGGAAATATGTTTGGCTAATTGAATTGAGATCATATCTTTTATTCGAATGTATCTAACAGATAGCTTAGTTTGATAATTGACACAATCTACACAAATTCCAATATCTTGATTTGATTGGCTAAGGCAAACTTTAAAGCTTTATACTAGTTTTTAGAAATGAAATAAACTTTTAATTTAGCTGAAGCAATGTTGGAACTTGATGGTAGACCTATAGATATCACAATAAAAAACAATGCCAGTCTAGATCTATGGGAATCATTAACTTTATAGATCAAATTTCTATTAAGTTATTTCCTATGATGTATATGATTCACTGATAAGTATAGAAGTGATCAGTGACATGAGACCTCTGTGAAACAACTCGTCTTCCTTTATTATTACACATGTTTTCTTAATTTCATGTTATTGAACATATTTTTATAAATAGAATTTCTTGGTCAAGGTCTGGTCTATCAGTATTTCAGTAGGTCTGTATGAAATTTATATCCCGCTAATCTATTGTCTATTGTGTTAAATCCTAAAATCTAAGATTTCTTGAGTTAAATTCTGACAACACAACCATCCAGAGAGGATTCCAGTGCCTTATCATAGATAGTCACTTAACACCTGCCAATAATGTCAGCAGACAAAGAAATTATGTCTATGAAAGCATAGGTAATAAACTATTTCTGACTTTAAAATATTGCTGAACAAGAATAAACCATTTTTTTCTGTTAAATACACATGTTTCTAGAGATAATGATAATTTGGTTATTTTTAGTTGCAAACATGCCAGTAGTACGAAACAGAGCAGTTGTCCATATAATGGAGTGGCTCAAGGAGAACAGAGACAGTCTTGTGGACTGCCAGTTCGCTAGTAGTACTTTGGTAAGTACCAGCTCCATATAACGGTATATATATCATACTTTGGTAAGTATCAGCTCCATATAACAGTATATATATCATACTTTGGTAAGTACCAGCTCCATATAACAGTATATATATCATACTTTGGTAAGTACCATCTCCATATAACGGTATATATATATCATACTTTGGTAAGTACCAGCTCCATATAACAGTATATATATCATACTTTGGTAAGTACCAGCTCCATATAATGGTATATAACATACTTTGGTAAGTACCATCTCCATATAATGGTATATATATCATACTTTGGTAAGTACCAGCTCCATATAATTGTATATATCATACTTTGGTAAGTACCAGCCCCATATAATGGTATATATCATACTTTGGTAAGTACCAGCTCCATATAATGGTATATATCATACTTTGGTATGTAACAGCTCCATATAATGGTATATATCATACTTTGGTAAGTAACAGCTCCATATAATGGTATATATATCATACTTTGGTATGTACCAGCACCCTAAAATGGTATATATATCATACTTTGGTAAGTACCTGCTCCATATAATGGTATATATATCATACTTTCGTATGTACCAGCACCCTAAAATGGTATATATATCATACTTTGGTATGTACCAGCACCCTAAAACGGTATATATATCATACTTTGGTAAGAACCAGCTCCACATAATGGTATATATATATCATATTTGGTAAGTACCAGCTCCATATAATGATATATATATCATAGTTTGGTAAGTACCAGCTCCACATAATGGTATATATATATCATACTTGGTAAGTACCAGCTCCATATAATGATATATATATATCATAGTTTGGTAAGTACCAGCTCCACATAATGGTATATATATATATCATACTTGGTAAGTACCAGCTTTACATAATGGTATGTATATATATCATACTTTGGTAAGTACCAGCTCTATATAATGGTATATATATATATATCATACTTTGGCAATTACCCACGATATATAATGGTATATATATCATAATTTGGTAAGTACCAGCTCCATATAATGGTATATATATATCAAACTTTGGTAAGTACCAGCTCCACATAATGGTATATATATATATCATACTTTGGTAAGTACCAGCTCCACATAATGGTATATATATATCATACTTGGGAAGTACCAGCTCCATATAATGATATATATATATCATACTTTGGTAAGTACCAGCTCCACATAATGGTATATATATATATCATACTTTGGTAAGTACCAGCTCCACATAATAGTATATATATATCATACTTGGTAAGTACCAGCTTTACATAATGGTATATATATATATCATACTTTGGTAAGTACCAGCTCTATATCATGTATCGTCGATTGTTTTGGACAAATCAATTCAATGTTAACCCTGTGACAATGTATTAATACCATGACATCAATTTCTGATAGGTTATATGGAATATTATATAATATGATATTGTTTCATTAAAACTATTGTATATATTGACAGAGATGTTGTTTCAGTTCCTGTTCTTATCTCTATAGAGTACAGTAAGAGAAGTGTATTGAGATGTGTTGTGGTGACTCTGGCATTAAATTGCACCCAATTCAAAGTTTTGTTGTTAAAAAGATAAAGACCTTAGATTTAGGAATTTTACACTTAACATGGTGATGATATATTGAAGATTTCAAGGTTTTGATGTATGAGCACATGGTTAAAAACCAAACCAAGAATGTAGTTAATAAAATTGTTATTTCAGGACCTTATAAAATCAGCACTAACCGATGTATAATAAAATTGTTATTGCAGGACCTTATAAAATCAGCACTAACCGATGTATAATAAAATTGTTATTGCAGGACCTTATAAAATCAGCACTAACCGATGTATAATAAAATTGTTATTGCAGGACCTTATAAAATCAGCACTAACCGATGTATAATAAAATTGTTATTGCAGGACCTTATAAAATCAGCACTAACCGATGTATAATAAAATTGTTATTGCAGGACCTTATAAAATCAGCACTAACCGATGTATAATAAAATTGTTATTGCAGGACCTTATAAAATCAGCACTAACCGATGTATAATAAAATTGTTATTGCAGGACCTTATAAAATCAGCACTAACCGATGTATAATAAAATTGTTATTGCAGGACCTTATAAAATCAGCACTAACCGATGTATAATAAAATTGTTATTGCAGGACCTTATAAAATCAGCACTAACCGATGTATAATAAAATTGTTATTGCAGGACCTTATAAAATCAGCACTAACCGATGTATGGTCTGCGATAAGAAATGCCTGTGCCAAACAGCTAGTACACATCGTGGGACATTTCAAGGTGGCAGATCAAGGGCTACTCTTTAACAGCTTGGTCAAGGTTTGCTCATTGCTACACATGGTCATGTGTATAAGATGTTTGGCTCAGTATCATGTTCTGTGGTTCCTTTAGAAAGCATTTGAGATAATTTATGGAAAATTATGTTATGGTGTTAATGTCAGTAATCTGTTACTTTTTTGCATATACATGTATATTGTTTGTGTAGAAAGTAAAACTTTGATATCACATATTTCCAAACTGGTGAATGTTATTGAAGATATACATATAGTTTATTAAAATGTCTTACTGCATTTGTGATATATATCCCAGTATTTTATGTGGAGGATCTATTGCATATGAACGTGTATATTGAATGAGCAACAAGTTGGATATTTTTAATTTAATTGTAACTTTTGGTCTATTTCAGATATGCAAGTGTGAAAACAGTTTATGGCAAGCCAAAGAGGGTGCTATTATGGGTATTGCTTTTAAATCTTATATTTTTCTGTGACTTTATTATATACCTTATATACCTAAACTTTAAAAGGAAAAGAAAATTGTGCATTTTTTACTGAATTCTTGCAAAAGTTTTAAGTTCAAAATTTTGTAATGTCCAATATTTTTAACCTATCACTTTTATCAATACCTTTGTATTCAGGTGTCTGTCTCCCCAGTTAAAGTTCTCTCCACATATGATTGTAAGGATCTTGTTTTTGCGCTTTATTTTTTGAAGTAGCATGCTCAGTAACTCGGGAAGCAGTGCAAGGTATTTGATCTTACTATGGTTGTGTAAGAGAAATAGTTTGGAAAGTTGCATGATGATCTAGGAGCATGGTTTCGTGCTGCTGAAACAAGCTGCAGACAGAAGAGAGAACATGTACGGTGAACACATAGCTGGGTGGTTGATGTTATTTATGTGTAAATCATTACCTTGTAGGCATCAATGCTATGATTCTACAGTGCCAGGATGGAGCAAATTCTCGGTCACAGACTCCACAGTTTGCTCTGGAGACAGACTCTCAGGTAAACAAGCTATTAGGTCCTGTAAATGTGGATTTTTTTGTGTGTGGAAATGTTTACATTGTGACCTTTTAAACTGATCGAGATATGGATGTCTTCACATTGGAAATAGTTCTGAAATCTAGATATTCTAAAATCTGTAATTTACACATAATTATTTGCATGTAAGTATTTATGTACTCATTTACTCAATGGGGAAAACGTGAACATTTCCACTTTTACAGTAGTTCGCTCAAAGAGACCAGAGACAATCTTGTGTGAATATATCATTGGTTGTGCTAAATGAACCTATTTACAATATTAAGACAAGATGTTTAGACTCGGAACCTTGGGTAACCTAGCCATTAGGATCAGGTATTTAGATGTCTCTGTATGTTAGAGCTATTATATTGTTGGAGACAGGACCTCCAGTTACCTAGCCAATAAAGTGTAAGAGGCAGAATCTCAACAGTCAAGTTATGTTAGGATCTAGTGCATAGACACACCACTTGAATGTAGCCATTAGGATCAGGTGTTTAGATGTCTCTCTATAATAGAGCTGTTATATTACAATGTAGCTGTTCTGGTGATAGCTTGAAGTATTCTGGTGGTAAGTTGAAGTATTCTGGTGATAGCTTGAAGTATTCTTGTGAAAACTTGAAGTACATGTATTTTGGTGATACGTTTTGTTGATCATTTCCTCTCTGTGCCTTTTCCAGTCCTGTGGAAGGCAGCCAGTACCGGAGTTTGTGTCTAGACAAATACATACAGTGGTGTTTAGCTTACTGTCAAACCCACAACTGACTATCAGGGAGAACGCAGCCAAAGCCCTGTCAGCATTCATTTCCTCTTCTGATGTCAAGGTACACTAATATTACAACTTACTGAGTTACCCTTTGATAATCTGGGACCTCCATATTCAAGCTTTATCAATAATTGATAAAATGAATAACAAGTTATATTTCATGACATGTGTTTATTGATTATTTTATTTTTTTAATCAACCCAAACGGGTGAGACGATTACTATCTTTGTAAGGATGTGTGATTGTGTGATGATAATTCTGCTTTAATCATCTAGACTCTTTTGAGTTAGGTGGAAAGGATTTTTTTTCTATCGGTTCATCCATCACACTTTACAGGATTTTCAGACGTTAATTATTTTCAAGACCCCCAGTGATCGTTAGGATCAGCTTAATACCTACCTCAATAAAGGCACTATGTACATTCATCTTACCTGATCAGTTTGAAGTCTTTGAGAATTTGTATGAAATATAATGCATTTTACAAATATCACATAGGCCTTTGATTTTAAATATTGTTTTACAAAATGTTTCAGGAAGCACTGTCAACATTAGAAAAGGTCATTTCTGTTCTGTGGAGCGAAGTTAGCAAAAGTCAAGTAGAAAAAGACCAAAGAAATGTGGTGAGAATGTGTTCTTTTGCAGTAAATTAAAGGATGAAAACGTTCCTTTGAATATCAGGATTAAAAAAAAATGTATATTCGGGTTCTACATGTCTTGTTTTAATTAGCTCACCTGGTCCAAAGGACCATTGTGAGCTTATTCCGTACCGTGGCGTCTGTCGTCCGTCTGTCAACTTTTCCTTTAAAATGCTACTAGTCCTGAACAGCTTTATTGATTTTTAAACTAATTTGGACCAGAGCATCCTTGGGCAAAGGGGAGTCAATTTTGTATAAACAGAGGGTGTGGCCATTCTGGGTGCAGATGGGCGGGGCCCAATAGGGATATTTGAGGTTTGTACCTTTAAGATCCTTCTTCTTCTGTACCATTGGAGGGATTTTATCCAAATTTGGGGTGGAGTAACCTTGTGCAAAGGGGACTCAATTTTGTATAAACGGAGGGTTTGGCCCCTTTGGGTGCTAAGAGGCGGGGCCCAATATGGGAATTTGAGGTTTAAACCTTTATAGTCCTTCTTCTTCTGTACCATTGGAGGGATTTTGTCCAAATTTGGCCTGGAGCATCCTTGTGCAAAGGGGACTCAATTTTGGTACAAACAGAAGGTGTGGATGCTCTGGGTGCAGAGGGGCTTGCTGAAATCAGGAATTAGAGGTTTAAGTCTTCAAAATCCTTCTTCCTCTGTACCATTGGAGGGATTTTATCCTAATTTGGCCTGGAGCATCCTTAGGCAAAGAGATTTTGTATAAATGGAGGATGTAGCCTCTCTTGGTGCAGAGAGACGAGGCCCAATAGGGGAAGTTGCGGTTTAATTTTTTTAAATCCTTCTCTTTCTGTACTATTTGAGGGATTTTATGTAATAAGACTAATTTCCCATGGTTGCTTTATTATCCAGGTGAGCAATACAGGCCCTCTGGTCCTCTTGTTTTGAAAGGGAGAAGTGNTCATTTGGCAAGGGGAACTCAATTTGTTTTAGCAGAGAGTTTGGTTTCCCTGGTAGCAAAGGGGAATGGTCGAGTAGGGGTTTATCCTAATTTTGTGTGTAGAGCATCCTTGGGAAAAGGGGACTCAATTTTATATAAAAAGAGGGTTGCTTTTAGGGGGCAGCCCCAATAGGGGAAATTGAGATAAATGTTTGAAATCCACCCCAATTCATGAGGGCAGAAAGAAGGGACCTTGTGAGGGACAGGTGTTGCTGACAGACAGAGCCAATATTTAGAAAAAGTTGTTTATTGTAATAAGAATAATTTTCCATGGTTGCTTTATTATCCAGGTGAGCGATACAGGCCCTCTGGTCCTCTTGTTCATTTTAATTTGGACTGATGGAGTAATTTCTTTTTGATCTTATTTAACCTCATCAGTATGTACAATATATTAATTTCATTTTTAGCAATTGCCGGTAAAGTTTCTGGATGCCTATGCTGCAGAAGGGACTTTAGATGTTTGTCTTTTCCTTGTAAAGGTAATTTTAACCTTGATTTAAAAAAGAATTGTGATCAATTTTACAAAATTCTATAAAAAAATGTTTAACGTTCATGTCAGTGTGAATGCAAATAGCAAATCACAGCCCTATGAACACAATGTCTTCTGGAAGTGTCTATATTGGAACTTGCAGCAGAAATTGAAATATAATGATTAATATAATGATATCAAGTTGTGGTAATCCATAGGTTCATAGATGATTGACATTATGATCTAGGTATGTTGTTGATGTATTATACAGTGTATATTGTTTGTACATTGTATTACAAGGTTTGTTGATCCCCCTGTGTGACTGACATGTGATTGTTTTACCAGGTGCTGCCCCTGCCACGCCTCCTGCCTCGCTGGCCTCAGTACCTGTCCACATTTCTCCTCTACCTGTCTCATCCAGCATCTACCGTCCGTCAGGCTGCCAGTAACATATTCAAATACCTAGGTCAGACATTTCTCAAAGCTTCATTACTTTGGATATATGTGTCAGATTAGCTTTCAAAATTCTAAACTATGTTGAGCTGTGGCAATATGGTTGTTGCACAATCTACTCAAAGTCTTGAAAAAGATTAGATATTTAACATAAATTTAACATTAATTACCGGGTAAATCGTTTTTGAGAATGATAAATTTGCCACTAAATTCAAAGATTTAGTCTTCAACAAATGTCCAACTAAACAATGTTTGTATTTCAGTTGCCAAAAGTAGTCACAGTGCTGTACTAGTAAAACTAGTGCTTCAAGCTCTAACAGAAGGCTGGGAACCGGATCTTGTTGCTCTAAGTAGAGAAGACAAATATGGAGATGTATCTAGCCAGTGTACCCGGCCATCAGTCTCTGAGACAACAGGTTAGTTACCTCCCTTTAGTAGGGACAAAAAAATCATCTCTTATTGTTGGAATAATGGAAATATCTTTTGTAACCTCTCCTCAGTTTTAGAAACTGACATTTGGTTATCTTCCCTTTAGTACGGATGGGAGATATGGAAAAAATCTGAAATATCTAGCCACTCTTGCTGGCCCCTTAGTTTCATATACCACAGGTTATTATTATTCTAGTAGAACTGACATAAATAACCCAAAAATAACTAGGTACTGCAACTTAGCCCATAGTCACAGAGTCTACAGGGCTAGTTTAGTGGAGACAGGAGAACAATACAAGCAAACAGTGACTGACAGGTGACTGGCCCACAGGTTAGTTATCTCCCTTGTGTAGATTGGGTGGTCATTGAGATTTTGCAGCCTTTTCACTTCTGTCTTCAGTTACAAAGACCTCAAGTAAGTTACATGTGCTTGGAGATGTGTCTAGCCAATGTGACAGATTAATCCCTGGAGGCCTGTGATGAGTCCCCCCTCCCCCC